AGTCAAATACAACCAATAATAATGATTTGTCAGTAAGAGTTCATATTGGTGTGTTTATTTTAGAATGATTGCACACGCGTGTGTATTCGGAAATCGCAATCTAAGCAGTATATTCAAGAGATAACGTAGCAAAAATTTTACTCAAAGCCCTTGCGGATCGGTTATAATCTACCACCGGTTGCTACTCCATCGACATCCGTTTATACACTATAAACATCTCCACTGATATTGCTGCTGCAGATGCTGCGCCTTCGCCGCCGTCCACACTGCCACCACCAACAGAAACCACCTATTGTTATAAGGTCATTACGGAAACGGGAGAAATGAAGAGAAGAATAAGACAGAGGAACAATTCAGAACGCATACAGGAAGCTGATATTATGTGAGATGGAATCTCACCTTTGCACATTAGACGTTCGTGGGATAGTGTTACGTGCTAGTCACTTTCAGATGAGGCAGAAAAGTCGAAACTGCTTGGGCGCGCGTGTTTGTACACACACACACACACGCACACAAGCGAAGACCGCCGGCAAAAGACAACACCAGCAGTGGTGTAGTCGTAACAGGAAGAAAGCAGTACAGACCAGACGCGGCCTGAACGTGAAAAGAAACAACGATGATCAAGGATAAGGGAGCAACTGGGAGAATATGGAAGAAGTAGCGAGTCATGAATTGCACATTCGCTTGAATGTATGGGTTTGCACACGTGTGTGCTTTGGGGGGGGGGGGGCGCAGTATTGTTGGGGTCTCCAAGCTGACGCATGTACCAGTAATAATTGAGGAATTGTTCGAATGAAAGATCGAGAGAGAGTTCTGACGAGCCATGGAAAAGGAGCGCCTTATGTCGCTGTACGACTCGAAAGTGATGATGACGAAAGGTACCAATTCGAGGAATATGAAGGAAACGGAGAGAGAAACAATCCAACCGGAGGGTCAAGCGAAAAAACAAACAAACATAAAGAGAAGGGAGGGGAAGCAAGGAGGGATCCATTGGAAATTATCGGAACTGAACTAGTACAGGCGTGGTCTATCGAAGACCAAGCTTGCAAACGACTGATAGGCCTACCAGACAGTGAGCAAACAGCATTCGAACGAACAGGCAGGAGAGGAGCATGTTCCCGTACCGTAAGGCGCATGCAGGTAGCCGTTTAAACAACCATGGAACAAAGACAAAAAGAAAGGAAAGAGAAGGAGGGGTTGAAGATTTTCGCACATCGAGGAATGGACGTGGTTCGTGTGATGCACGAAATGGAGGGCGGCAGTCGGAGAGGAGAGGGGTAAAAGTGAGCAGTTCATTGTAGTCATTATCCAAGCGAGTAGGTAGGCAAGCAGGCAAACCAAACCGGATCAGGCCGGGTCAGATCGTATGTTACAAACCATCAAATCGCCCCGATGAACCACGAGTCCCGAGAACACAAAAACCCAAGCCAGAAAGGTAGATCGAGCATTCGCAGAGTAGTAGTGGTAGCAGACCGGAGACAGCATTCCCATGAACAGTAATCAAACAAATCAACGAGCATTTAGAGAACAGACGAACAATTTAGTCCGAATTACAAACCAGTGAGAGAGAGAGAGAAAATAGGGCATTAGAGGGGAGGTGGAGAGATAAATAAATGGATAACGGATTAGGATTTATGTACGAGTGCCTCTATGTGAGAACATGCTGAACTGGGGTTGGGCTGATTTGATTGATTGATTGATTGATTGATTGATTGATTGATTGATTGATTGATTGATTGATTGATTGGCAAATCGATTACTTGGTTCATTTTTAGCTGAGATTTAACGGAGGACGAACAAATGACACACTATACGAATATTGCCAAAAAAGAACCTGCAGGACATCATCACTCAATTTTACTTCTCTCGCATTCTCTTACTGGTATGTTTTCATCATGAAGATGCGGTTTTTTTTCATTTGTTTGCTACAGAACAGACGTATACGATCAATTTTATTGGATCAATATTAATCGCTTGCGGGAGCTAACCTAATGCATCCAACAACATAATGTCGCAATGCAGATTATTGGTATATAAATGCACATGAGTTTAGACTCAACGAAAGCCGATGAGCGACGCGCAAATTCATGAGAAGATTCAATGGATTTTCACTCTTCCATCACCTCGCTTCGACCCTTCCTCCCTCAATGCACCTCCAGTATGCTGGCCTCGAAAATGTCTTGATTCCTGATTCCTTGATTCTTTGTATGATAGGCTCATTGCAATATGCGTTCCGAAACGGGAAAAGGGATTAAATAACCGGCGCGCATGTCGCGACGCGGCCAACAGTATGTATAAAAGACACACACAAACAACAAACCTGTCAGACCTTTGTCTAAATAGTTCAAATATGATAGTGGATCGGACACACACAGATGTGAAATGATGAACGCTGAGACAAGCTGATCATGTCAAGGTTGAATGATAGCACGACAGATAGACGGAGAGAGAAAGAGAGGGGGAAATGACAGGACAAAAGATCCGACAGAAGAGCGAGAAAGCTATGCGAATTCTGTCCACTCACCCACCCACCCATTTGCTCCCTCCGCCATTATGGCAACTGTGACCACAGGCTCGATAAATAACTACCTTAGATCTGAGTGAACGAACACACACACACACACACAAACACACATGAATTAAAACAATCTATGCTCAAAGTACCTGAACCTCAAAACCCCTGAACACAACCAGCGCGGTTGTGTTCAACGATGACAACAGGTCTTGCGGATAACAATTCCATGGACACGGAATGATCAAGGCATGTGCAACAGACTCACAGGTCTGGTCTGATACCTTCTATTATTCTTTCGTTTCACGTTCCGGAACGTGATTCCGGATCTTTCGGCAGTAGCTCAGTCACTGACCTAGTACTCCGGGGAACCTCAAATGATGCCAGTCTCAAATCGGGGAAAGGTTACAGGTCCTTCAAATTGAACGGCACACCTAAATACAGAGTTATGAACATGCACAGATGAGAGCCATACGCGTTAAAAGGACATGAAAGGATGAGTCAAGCATTTCAAGGACGAGTGAACTGACTGGTAGCATTGCTTTTTAATGCAGATA